TCTAACAAATTTGTAAAGGGAATAGTGGCAAGGCAAGTTTATTTATAAGCACAATGGATACAAAGTGGAAATTCAAAGTGCTTTAGAAAAATCCGATGAAAGAACACCAAGAATGTGCGTTGAAAGAACATAGAGAAATAAAAGATTAAAGTGGGCCTACTATAAAAATAATGAAATATGCCTAAAGGATAAGAAATTCTGAGCATTCTGGATTCTGAGTGGAAAATTAAGTGGTCATGATAGGCGTTTCTTTAGATAAACGATATACAACGCAATAATAGGTAGTTTCGTATAGCTTAATGGGCGCTACAATTTTGCAGGTCAAATCTTACATTGGCGTGATTTAATTAGGACCTAAGTAAGATTCCATCTCTCTAACTATAGACAACTCAAAAGGTCTGGAGTGGTTTTCTTATGTGTCTGTGGCTTGCTTACAGACAACAGAAAGGTTTTGTAGTTCCTTCACCACACAACATAATAAATTTTAGGCCTATACTAAATATAATATACAATAAAACAATTTCTACAGTTATTTATACACATAAGCTATAAACATATAGGCCTACGTATGCTATACACCCCGAACATGTATTGTATTTTATTGAAGAGTCCATCTTGACTGCGTTAGTGCACCAAGCATCATCGATGTAAAACACAAAGTCCACTTCTGCTCATCTTGCTAGAGTCTTGCGCGGACAGATCGAAACATGGACCAACTGCCAAGTGCTTGATCGGGGATGTTGATGGGGCAGGTCTCTGTAACAATGTGGACAAAACAGTCTCTGAATTCATTTGTTTGGTCAACATGAGTCACATTTTGTCCAGACTGCATCTTTAGGAGCAGAATTAAGTCCAAGCTGGGCCAGCATGTCTCCTCTCCTGGCTCTCTGTCCTCTCCTCTGAGTGATCACTGCACCCGTGTGGTGTTGGATTAATGTGGTCTGTTCTTGTTATTTACTGATTGGGTGATAACAGTTCAAACTGATTGGCTTTGGAAAAGAAAGGGTGGAGCTCATTATCATTTAACACTATGCGTCATTGGGGACACTGAGCCCCGTTAAAAAGCGGCGTTACATGAGCACATAGAGCGACGTTTTTTTCGCCACCTCCATACCGACGAGAAATGCGTCGTTGTTTACATAATTCCACAGCGCTTTTTACGTTTTGCCGTTCAAACGGCGCTTTTTACGCTGTTTTTTTTAACAAAACAAGGTAGGAAAGTAGCGTATTGTGAGCCTTTTAGCCTTCCATACACTTGCAGCGAATGTACTCACGCGAGAAAAGCATCGCGAGGCGAAAATTCGCGTTTGGTCTGACACCGGCATAAGAGGACTGATGCCTCACTGTAAAAAACAAACTCTGTTAAAAGTAAAACTACTGCATTGAAAATTTAAGTAAAAATATACAAGTAGTCTAAAAGCAGGAAAATGTGGAAGTAGCCCATTAAAAATAAAATTAGAGAAAGAAAAATGTCCCCTATGACTATCAAGCTATTATATATTATCATTAATTATTCTTCCTCATGCATTAATGTAGTTGGTGGAGGTTGAACAATTTTGTATCAGCAATTAATGTTTATTGTTATATGTATTAATCTGCTGATTGTTTACTCCATTAAATCGATTGCAAAGATGGTGACAATTGTGAGAAATGTTGTCACAATTACCCAGAGCCCAAAGTGACACCTTTTACAATGCTTGTTTTCTAAAAACCTCAAATAATTAAAAATACATTAAAATAATCAAAAGTAAAACCTGCAGATCTTCAGGTTTGTGATGATGAAAAATGACTAATACCAAACAGTTGCAATTACCTTTCTGTCAATTAGCCTAAGTAATGTAGGCCTACTAGCTGTACTTGTATAAACTGTTAAGTAATTTACTTTATAACAAAACATCCTATTTTTTAAACTCTTCATATGTTTTGTGTGTAAAAAGCTTATTTTTAAAGTAACTAGTAACCGAAGCTGTCAGATAAATGTAGTGAAGTAAAAGTACAATATTTCCTTTGAGAGGTGGGAGTAGACGTAGAAAATGGTAAAAAAAACACTGAAGTTAAGTACAAATGTCTCTAATATGTACTTAAGTAGGGCCTACAGTCAGTAAATGTACTTTATCACTGTCCTCCACTGGGCTTGGCTTTGGCTACCTAAAACTAAGGAAAGGACTTGAGATATGTTTCTGTATTTTGGCTCTGGATCAAAAGAGGGAATTTGGTGGGGCCGGGGGCCGCTGCTGCACGTGTTTGAGTACTTCCTCCTCTAACAGATGTAATCTTACTCCAAACTTTTGATAAAACTTGAGAGCCCTGCAACAGACTACTGCATAGAAGACTGCAGATGCCACCAGAGTCATAGAAAGATTAGGCAGCAAAACTACTTGGTGAGGTTTAGACATAAATTATGGTTTGGTTTAGGGCTGAACGATTAATTGCATTTGCGATATTATCGCGATGTAATAAAACGAGATTTTCTAATCGCAATGGCTGCGATTATTCTCTGGTCACATGACACCCAAGACGAAAGCAGTCTGACGAAGTTGATGTCTGGTCCGGTGTTGTCGGAGAATTTCTAAGCTTGTCTATTAAACACGACAGTCGTCACTCTGTTTTATTTGAACCTCAAACTGAGTATTTTTTCTTTCTCACTGGGATACAGAAAGATGGACTCCTAGGAGATTTGAACTGGGATAAGGACTTATTAATTGCTGGTTGAAATGTGGGTTTTGTATTGAGCTCTTACTGTATAACACACTGTGGTCTGTAGGTAGGGCGACCTGATGATATATCATATTATTTAATGCCATGACTTGACTCAAATTATCTTTCTTAGATTATAATTTGATATATCTTCTCCTCCATTGCTCATAATAATAATTCTACCTAATTTCATCATAACACAGGCCTGACCCACAAGAAATAGTGTAGTTCTATCTAATATTGTGTTGGTGATACTATACACTGATTTACTGCTTGTCCATTTTGAATAATACAGAAGGTAAAGAGCTTAAAATTAATCGCATATTAAATCGCACTCGCAATATTGGTTTTAAAAAATCGCGATTTAGATTAATTTCCAAAATCGTTCAGCCCTAGTTTGGTTTTAAAACATCTACGTTACTTATGCAAGTTATTTAAAAAACTAAAAACAGTATCTCACAAGTGAGTACACCCATAATTTTTGTAAATATTTGCTTATATCCTTTCAAGTGACATTTTTACTGAGGGGTGTCCTCACTTTTGTTGCCAGCGGTTTAGACATTAATGCCTGTGTGATGTGTTATCTTTGAGTGGACAGCAAATTTACACTGTTACACAAGCTGTACACTCACTACTTTAGTAGTAAGTGTGATTTCTTCAGTGTTGTCACATGAAAAGATATAATCAAACGTTTACAAAAATGTGTGAGGGGTGTACTCAATTTGTGAGATACTGTATGTAGAGTTTTTGTTTTACATGGGAAACAAACATCAGTCTTGTAGGTGAAAGGCTGGTGTCTGATCCATCCATCCACATCAATCTTACCTGAAGTTTTCTGGTATTTAAATTACTTTTAGCGTTCAACAATGACACTGAAAGGCTTCCCAATGCTTTAAAAACTCACCAAAGGGTCTTGACCATGGTACCATATTTGATGACTTCAGAGTGAGAATGGGTTGAGCCTAACTTTAAAAAGTTTAAAGGTTTTCTAAATTCCACATATATCCTTGTTAAAATCATTGCTAGCCTCATCAACAAGGTCCGGGTTCCCCCACTGACACTCCCCCCTTGCAAATGATACGAATGTCTTTGCACATGTCGTGTCGGGCACAGACCTGGCACGTTGCACATATTTGTTGTTGATTGTTGATCTTTGTTGTTGTATATTTTTATGCCGTCACTTTATATATTTATATGTACACAATATTCTCTTCCGTTGCAATACTTCTGCACGACACAAACCCAGAATAATGCAACAGTGTTCTTTCTCTGCTAACAGTTTTATTGTATTATTTTTGTTATTCTTATATAACTTGCACTGTCCATTCCATATTTATGTATTTCTACATTTATTTATGTTGACTGTATGTTTTTCTACGCGTAGCACCTTATGACCAAAGCAAATTCCTCGTATGTGTAAAACACTACGTGCCAATA